CAGCAAGATCCAACTCCAGATAAGATGAGTACACTCTGTCTTGCTGAGGCTATACCAGAGAAATTTACTACAGTTAGCTCATATTTATGTTGTTCAAATGGAAAGCATCATACAGAAAATGGAAACAACTTACCTCATTGTAGTCCAGAAACATGTTGTTGGCACGTAAATATGCCTCAATCATTGCTACCTAGAAAAGTTGAAGCAAGAATTACTACAGAGGAGCAGAAAACATTTCAAAAAAACAAAAGCGTCTTTGAAAGAATGTACAACTGACCGTCTCATCACTTCGTCCAGTCAATTTCAAATATTGTAAAGTGACATGATCAACAGGGAAAAAACCCATTGTGGCTCCATACTCGGGGGCCATATTTGCAATAGTTGCTCTATCAGCTAATGGTAACTGACCCATGCCTTCACCTAAAGACAGAAGAAAAGAGTGTAAATGTGTGTGTGTAGCAATGGCAACAGTATACAAGATGACCACAGAAAACTTTTCACACACTAAGATAGAAGTGTACCATAAAATTCGACAAACTTCCCGACTACACCATGCTTTCTCAAAATTTGGGTCACAGTCAAAACCAAATCAGTAGCAGTCACTCCATCACGCAATTTTCCGGACAACTTAAATCCGACAACACCAGGCAGAACCATGCTCATTGGCTATCATGCAAAATTCAGATTAGTGAAAAAAAATACAATATGAAACAGATTCTGGAAAAAGTTGAGGAAAAAGCACAAGTAACTGCAAAATATAAACTCAACAACCTCTATCCATGTGGATATAAGCATTATCCAAGTGATGGGAATAAAAGGACAAGGAAAAAGAAAGCAAGAACCAGATTTAAGACAGCATTACAGCATTAGTTTCTGAAGAAGAAAAAAATACTGAAATGATTAAAAAACGGTAGATGATAAGAAAAGCATTGGATAAAGTCAGTTAAATGCCTTTATAGGCCCCCAGACTCACAACACATGGCTAGCTGAGATAGTCCAAGAGCTATCCTTGTCAAACTTCCTCATATATATACAGAAAATATTCCTAACAAAGAATCTTCAAAGTAAAGAGAGCACAGGTACCTGGCCAAGCATTGCTGCCTCTGCTTCAATTCCTCCAACACCCCATCCAGCAACACCCAATCCATCAATCATTGTTGTATGAGAGTCAGTGCCAACAACGCTATCAGGATACAACATACCATCTGTGTTGAAAACAACCCGTCCAAGATACTCAAGATTCACCTGCAAAATTATGAAGTATTAGGCCAGACGATCAGCAACAAAGGTAACACATATAATGCAACCACAGTGTCAAGAACATCCTGCTTAAGATATCAAGGTAATTACATCTCCCGCATGTTTTGATGAGCAAAAAATACAGCAAGTATACGTCATTATACCTGATGGACAATACCAGAACCAGGAGGCACGACAAGCATATTGCGAAAGGCCGATGATCCCCATTTAAGAAAAGCAAACCTCTCTTTGTTTCTCTTGAATTCAAGGTCCATGTTAGCCTGCAGAGCGTTTTCTGATCTAGCAACGTCAACTTGAACAGAGTGGTCAATGACAAGGTCCACTGGAACCTACATTTTATTTTATATAAAAAAAATAAAAATATAAGAAATTAGAAAAAAAAAAAACAACAGGAAAGTGAGGTGTGAGGAACATTTATCAGGCTATGCCACTCCAAATTCAACTAAAAATATTAATCAGATAACCGAGCAATGTTATATCCTTCTATTACCAAACTTACATATGATGTATGGTTAACTACAACCAAGAAAATTATAATGCATTGCCATCTTATTACAGTGATATTGTTGAAAAGGCAAAAAAGGCATACAAGGGGATTAATCTTGTCTGGGTCACTACCAAGATCTTTGATAGCTTCCCGCATAGAAGCGAGGTCAACCACAGCTGGAACTCCAGTAAAATCCTAAAAAGCAAAAAGCAAGCATGTAAAAAATTATTAGAAAATTCATGTAAGAACTTTTCATACTTCAAATCTAGAGCATCTATATCACCTGTAACAGGACACGGGCTGGCTTAAAGGGAATCTCAACTTGTTTAGGAGCAGAATTTTCCCAATCAATTATCTTTTCCACATCCTCCTTAGTGACTTGGAAGTTGTCACAATTTCGTATAGCTGATTCTAGGAGTATCCTGATCGAATATGGGAGCTTGTCTGCAACAAAGAGTACAAAAAGTAACGCAAAATCACATGGTGCATCCAAGACTTGATGATTTCATAAATGTTTAACGAACTAACTCTTTACCAATTCTAGGGTCATTCAGAGCAGGAAGGCTGTAAAACTTTCCAAATTCACCTCCTCCAGGCTTGGGGAGACCATAGAAAATTTCCTTAAAAGGATGTTCAGAAGCTGCAAATATTAACTAACCATTATTATTTATCAAGCCGGAATTCAAGGGAATCAAGCATACTTAAATTCTGAATGCCATATCATATGAATAGAGAATCAGGATAAATCCAACACCCACAGAACTTCACCTTACTGAGACTAACATAAAATAACATATCTTGAAACAAGGCCATGCACTTCAACTAGATAATAAAAATATCCGCTAAAAACATGTGATGAACTATGTGCAGAAACTCAGTGCCATAAGTCTCAATTCCAGAGTTTGTCACTGTGTTCACAAACATAATAAAAAAGAATAGCTTGTGAAAACTGTTAGAGTAGAATACTCGGCGTTCCAATTTGATTGGATCTTTTTCTACTTGTAAAGACAATTTATTGGAATTTTATATTATTTTGAGGTATTTCTTTATCTTATGTCTTTGCATTTATCCTATGATAAAGTCCTTAGACCATTATTAGCTATAAGGTATGGTTGCGCATTTGATGGCTATCATGGAACATGTCTTTAAAGTTGTGAATTTAAATAAGTTCCAAGCCGATGGATATTTCGAGACAGGACATTGAATAACCCGGTAAGACTTGTGCATATGATGCATGCTCGTCGGACGAGGATGTTACATTCCATCAAGTGGACGCAAATGCATATATGCGGGTGCTTTCACTCATGATCCGATGAAAATTCTTAGCAACTGGAAATTTTTAATTGAAAATTTTTAACTGGAAGTTTTTACTGTCGAATAAGAATTATTTTCTTATTCGAATTTTCATGTTGCGTGTACTACTGATCTTCTGACTTGAGGCACGATAGTAATCTTGTGCATGTTGTGCTTTACTTTGATTTATCTTTTAATTGCTGGACAATCATAAAAGGGATATTTTGGGTACTATGGAGGTTTATCTGTGGCCAACATAGAATTTGACACTTATGTGGATAAGTGAATTTTCTATGCTTTTCATAGTTTGTGATTCAAAAACCTTGGCCAAGGCGGGATGAATATGGATTCATAAAGGAATTACTAAACTTGAAATTGATTCATAGTTAAAATCAATTGGGTTTCGACTTATAATCCATGCCCAAGATGTAAACATCAACAAAATATCTCTACAAAGTATGTTGAATTCTGCTTGAGTTTACATTGGAATCCATAGAAAAATATGCTCAACGCACAGAGAAGCACAAATATAATACAACACATAACACTATTAACACTATCTGACCAAACAAAATAGAGAACAAGACAATTCAGACACCAGTAAGGAACAAAAAAAAAGCGAGAAAAGAAATTCCGCATTCAAACCATAAAAATCGATTAAAAAAAGAAAAATTAAATAATTAACATCATACCCATCGTGGCAATCTTCCGCTCGAACCGTTCGAGAACAGGAGAAACGGTCGTGGTCTGAGCTCTGAGACTAAACGGAGAACGCCAGCCAACGCCGTGGCTCCACCGCGAAGCAGAGCACCTTAACGACCCGAGCGCCGACGAAAAGCTCCGCGATCGGTAGCTGAAATTTGACGGAACCAAGTTCCTGGCAAGAGATCGAGGCGGTCGAGAAAAGGAATGGTCAATCGAAAAAGAAGGAACAGTGGAAGCAAACCGGACTCTGCAAGCTCTGAAAATGGAGGAGGATGATGTCGGCGATGGAGAGCAACAGGTGGGAACATACATGGCGATCAACAAGAGATATATACTAAACCCTTTTTTCTTTAAATCGCAGTACAAAAACGATAAACCCTGTTGATTATTACTATTCGTTTACAGGTGTCTAGCGCCCGCGTAGCGTGGTGTACAAAAATGGATGTGTTTGGAGATGGTGAGTTGGTGACCTTAGCCGACAGCTGGTTATTTCAACCTTACTCTCCAACTTATTTTTATCTTAAATTCAAATCAATCTAAAATATTTATTTTATTTATTTATTCATTAAATATTATCTACAATTAATTTGTGTTATTATTTTACTTGTGTTAAATTAATTAATAAGATAGGGTAAAGGAAAAAGTGAAAAAAAGATTATTTTTTATTTTTAATATAATTAATATTAAAAAATATAAATTAGTTTTTATGTTATTTAAAAATTACACTTTTCCAATATGAATGAGACTTAAATGAGACAAGTGTCCCATTCCTAAAATTAAAATCGGTCGCAACCCAAGATCACATTGTGACCTGGGTCGCCAATTTTGATTTTTTTTTTCTTTTTTTTTTAATAACAAGTGTCTTTTCTTTTTCTTGGTGACTCGATGAGTTAGATCACTGATAAACCAAGTCTAGAGGTTGAATGGATATAAATTATTTGATCATTGGATATTTCTTTGAACTCAAAATATAACTCAACTCAATTATCATCAATATTATTAATATAATTAAATAATACCAATCCATTATCATCATACATCTATCAACTTTAATTCATTATTCATTCACTCGCGTAATTTTAATCACTCATCACTTCTAAATCACCTCTTTCCGACTTTTACATCAAATCAACTTTAATCATTATATTATAAATATTAGTTTAATACAAACATAAACTTTCACCCATGCCTAACTCAATCAACTTTTTCAAAATATCAAACAATCCAATCAAATCCAAAATAACTCATATCCAATCACTATTTAAATTATTAAAGGCATTAATTTTCACAGAATCGACATTAATTTTAAACCGCAAGTTCTTAATTTTAACTCTAAATCCATTGCACTAGGATTATTTACTTAGGAATTCGTTGATGCACATGGCTCGACCTTCTTAATAGAACCCAACTACAACAAACTCACTTACACAGATGGAGGTTGAATTACTCTGTGTACCATCATAACAAAATATATCCTTTAGAAAGTGACCAACACTCATTAAAAAAAGAGCCAACATACAATCAAATGGCCGAATTACTACCAATGGGGTTTCATATTGGCGGTTGCCATGTTCCAGGCCTGAACGATTCACCAGATCCAGTCGGCTCAGAGGACCTGAAAACATATTTAACACCAAAACTTGTTAAATAGAGAAATCAATCACAAAAACTTTGTTCTTCGTTGCATATCATCAAATAAAACCAAAAACTTACTCTGTCTGCTTTCCGATAAATTCCGGAACTTCTTTATGTTCCTGAGATTCTTCGGAAACCTCGCCACTGCATTTGTAATCCATAATTTAACTATTGTTTCAAAACATGCTAAGAGAAAAAGGTAAGGTTTGCTTATAAAAATGATAGAAAGAAAAGGAATAAAGAAGAAAACAAAATAACATTATGGGTTGTTTTAGTGATTTGAGGTGATGCTACTAGAAACCACATACTAACCTTGGTACATGGTCTGAACCAGTGGGTTTGATTGTTTTACCTTTCAAAAAATATATAAAGTTCCGTTCAAGACAAAATACAAGATGATGGACAAAATACCAGAAAAATCCTATTTCATCAGTAAGGAATAATAAGATCATGTTTGCTCACGTCCCAGACGTCACATAACTCTAGGCCATTGTGTTTATACCTTCTGAATCAGTGGGAAATTGCTGGATAAAACTTTTCAAGTCAGGACCAGCAGCTTTACCTATTTAAATTTATCACAAATCAGTAAACACAATAACACCATAACTAAAGGCTAAAGCACATTTTCTTTACTTTCCTCAACGAAAACTCACCAATGCTTGTTGTCGTGGCTTTCCCTCCTTTGGTTTTTCTTTCTTCTTCCATTTTGAGAACTGGTACCAAAGAATAAAATAAAAATTTCTATTTCAAAGTTGAAATAAAATGGAACAATGAAATTAAGGTGAAGACATCAAAATTTTATTATTAAATTAAATGGTGTCATTATTTTATTTTTGGCATAAAATTCATCATTAATAAATTACTCATAAGCAAATAAATATCATGCTTGCCCACCAAGTGGCATCTTAAGATGGTGGAAAGAGATTGCACCAATTCATGTAGGACTAATCAAATAGCATCATTCACCAATTAGGTTTAGTAAGATTCTCACCCCTAAACCTAAACCTATAAAGGGTGAGTCATCCCAAAAAAATTGAGACTAACAAATTTGATGGAGAACACCGAGAAGAAAAGGGCAGCAACAACAATCCCTAGAAGTAAATAGACAACATCAATCTCTCTCAAGTCAAATCGAATAAGATCAAAGGCATTCAAGGCGACATTTCAAATTCTGCTCGTATGAAATTCAAGAATATGGCATTTGATCCAAGAAAAAAAAACCTCCAAACCCGAGCAAACATTATTAAAAGTAAAGTCATTCTTGAAGGACGACCGAGTAATCAATTTCACCAATAAACCTTTTCTAATCAAATCTAGTCATAGTATTCAATAGGGAATAAGTCATTTAATCCTCCTAAATAAATGTTGGTGAAACTCAACCTCAAATCCCGAGAAGATCCAATAGGTGAATACACCTTCGAATATCCAAATTCAAATTCAAGAAGTGAAAACTCAAAGGTTCAATATAAAAATTGTACCTGCAATACTATTTGATCGAAATAAAATTCAAGTTTTACATTTGAATATCCAAATTCAAATTCAAGAAGTGAAAACTCAAAGGTTCAATATAAAAATTGTACCTGCAATACTATTTGATCGAAATAAAATTCAAGTTTTTTACAATCTTTTTTGTTTTCCCGTAGAATTGCTGGTACAAATTTGGCACACCTAGTGGGATGATCTCCACCTTTCATCTCTTCTCTTTAAATAAAAAAATAGTGTCTCGACAAGCGAACAAATTGCTAGAAGTTTTGAGACTCCATCAAATACATTAAAATAGGGGTGAAATCAAGTCCTATTATTAATTCAAAGTCATAGGAACCCGAAATTAACATTAATCCAATTGAAGCGCAAGCTTGGAAGAGATTCAATAAGCGAATTCACCTTCGAAAGAACAAATACAAATCCAAGAAGAAAATAATCAAATGATTTTATATAGACATTGTACCTGTTTGATCAGAATAAAACTCAAGTAATGTGATTCTTTTTGTTTTTGCATAACATTTTGTGACACAAAATTGGGATCAAGGTCGTACAGAAACATTCACAATCAGTTGATCTAATGCAAATTTTCAAAATCCTTTTGGTTTTATCTCTATATACTTTGCTTTTTTAAATAAGAAATAGAAAAAATGAAGAAGAAACCAACTATATACTTCACAAACCTAATTCCTCATAATGCATTTAAGTGAGGCATACAACTGAAAAATAATAGTTAACGAAGTGCAGGATTAGTTACGCACGAGCAACATTCATTTTAAGGCGTTCTCTCCTTGCCTCTAGCTCAGCGATTTCCTGAAAAACCAAAACTTGTTATATTAGAATTCTGTTTTAGGGGGTGCAAATGTCCTTCCGAATTCAGGTAATGCCTTCAGCAACAAAAAGGCCTTTAAGATGAACATGTAAAAGTGATCTAACATTACAATCAAGTACATGATCTAAGCCGTTGACAGTGAAAAACATTTCAGCTCATATTGCATCCATTGATGTGGAACATCATGAAATATAGTTGATTTAATGCCACACACACCCAATGCTGAAACTGGGTAGAATAATAACTAAATTCAGACAAACAATTAGAAGAAAACAGCGATATAAATCAGTCTTTTCACAATCTGTGAAATTCAGGCTGAACACTTCTCCTTGGGAAAATTACAGACTACATTAGAAACAAAAAAGAACTTCTATTTTACCTCAGGGGTCGGTGCCTTTTTCCGCTGTCCATTCAGCCAACATATCCATTCAACTACAACAAAGCTATTGAAGCATAAACAAATACTGATTATAACATAATAAAATATCCAATATCTTTGGGGAACAGCCATAATTGGATATCAAATAAACTTTCCAGAATTCGAGTTTTGTTTGTGAATGGAAAAATTTTGTTTAACACCAACTAGAAGAATAAACCACCCAATCTATTTGCTCCCTAAATGTGAAGGGTAGTGATGGGGCAATCATATCCTTAATGACCTCACAATCCTCTTTAACATCACAAATGACAATGAGAGAAAGAAAAAATAAAAATAGAAAATAGAAAATATACCAGGGACGGATGTGGGGTCCTGTTCTCCTTTAAATACGACCCACCTTTTCTCTTTCACTGATGAAAACAACAGGCAAAATGCATGGTAAGGAACAATTTCACTGAGAGTTCAAAATTTTCCTAGAAATTAAACTATGTCCAAGCATGAAAATTATTCAAGAATTATGGAACCACTAGGAGAAGCATTGTTCGGTGACCATAAATTTTGGATTACAGTATGAGCTTATTAATTGTTCCTTGCAAACTCACGTGTATTGAAATAACTGTAATAAAACAAGATATAAAGGCAAGTTATAAACAAAAATAAAAATTCATGAAGAAAAATTATAACATATTACTAAGGAAGATTAAAGATCACATAAACCCCAACTAGAATCCAAAGAAGCTCTTCTACAGAGCATTAAGATTACAAAAACTAAAATACAACAACAACAACAACAACAACATACCCAGTATATTCCCAACAGGTTGGGGTCTGGGGGTCAGCTGTACGCAGACCTTACCCTTGTAATTATACAAGGAGGCTGTTTCCGTAGCGACCCAAGGTGCATTGCGCCGTTTGATATTTTTTTTTTTTTCTAGAAACTTCACTAATAGAAGAAGCACTACAATTTAATTGAGCCATTTTGATCTAGTCCATTATTAACACTATGCCAAGAGAATTGTCAACAATGACTCTTCCAGCTCCATTTGCAATGAACATATTACAAAAACTAAAATAAAAACTAAAAGTGCCCAATCAGTTGCACCGGTGTCCAACAACAGCACAGAAAACCAGACACAAAAAATAATTACAGCAAAAATGCCACAAGCTTAGTTAACTCAATTGGGAATCATCTCTGAGCTACTCAAAGCACAATAAGCTCCAACTTCTCCATCGACCAGTGAAAAGTTCAAACAAAACCAACACCATTCAAAAGTCCAACAGTATATTACAATACTAAAACCACCCAACACGCCATTCATGTTGAAACACGCCAAAACCATCACTTAGTGGATACTTGTGCGGATACAAAAACAACATTAAGTAATGTAAGAAACGAAAGGCACTCACAGACACCATCGAGTTGCTCAGTTCTGGTAAAATATCGATTGCCCGCTTTGTCCATTCCGACGAAGGATCTACTTGTGAATAGACCTGCGATCCTCGCCCACAGCCTCGACATTTTATCAACTCAAAATCTTTAAACTCGATGGATTCAATAAAAAACTGAAAAACCACTTTTTTAAAATGACAGGGAATTTAATTCAGCTTGTTTTCCAAACTGCAAAACATGGATTATAGTTGCCGGGATGAAGATGAATTTGCAGCGTAAATTGGTTTAATTCTAGCGAATTACGATTGAATTTTGCATAGACAAGCGCTAGCTGCTGCGAGATCGAGACTGTTGAGAAAGTAACTTAAGCGACATGGGTCGGGTGGAATGAATCCATGGCCCATTAATGAGCCCGTCTGACACATCGGACCAACTAATGAGAAAATTACAATTTATCTTAAAAACTCAGTTTATTTTTACATTTTCCAAGTTTATATTTTAATTGCGAGTAAAACAAGTTTATAGTTTTTGAGTGGTATATATTTTGGTTTATGATTATCATTGAGGTTTAGTTTAAAATCTATTTTGGTATATGAATCTATAAATATATAAAAAAACTAAAGATTTACTTATTTTTAAGAAAAATTCCACTAAAACTTTTCACTTTTACTACATGCTAGCGTTAAATACCCGTGCGATGCATGAGATACACAATAAATTAATATTTTATTGTTCAAATATGTTAAATTATTATGATAATATGCTAATTTTATCCGACACAATATAACAGTCAGTAATAGTATAAAGTTTATTTGAATATTTTTTATTTTATTAATTTATTTTTATAGGTATTGGATATTTAATATGTAGATTTTACTATTTCTAAGTTTATAAAATACTATAAATATCTAAGATTTTAAATATCATGTTTATATACACATTACTTGCATGTACTTATAAAATTATCAATTATCTCTTATAACTTTTTTTTAACAATTCATATTTTGCATATTGCTCGACAACTAACTAATGTAACCCATAAAATTACTTACACGAAATATAGAGAACTTTATTTCGTATGAGCTGAGAGATGGAGGGGGCATGTAATCGTATATATTGGAGAAGACTTAGAATCATAATCATACTAACATTCCACATATTGTATTCTAACTTATTGTCCAAGTCAAACATCACAAATTGGACTCTTTAATACGGGAACATTAATAATCTATTAGATACATATTCACCTTAATTGAGTTTGACTATTAATTAAATTAGGTCCAACTAATTAGATGGTAAAATATTCTTACAACATATTGCTTTAAAAGATGGTGGACTAATTATGTTGTATCAACAAGAATCCCACCTCAGAATCAAGAATCTAACTCTCTACTTAGATCTTGGGGTGAATATGAAAAACTCGAAACCTTTGGATATTCCAAAACACTTGAAAAATAGAAGCCTCAACAGTGGGAACTGCTCTTAAGGATTCACACGAGTTTGCTAGTTGTTAGGTGGACTGTTAGCTTGTTTGTTTTTCTCAGTTTTTTGTTGTTTCTTTAGTTGCTTTGTTGTGTTTGCTTTGTTAGCTAGCTTTTTTCTTTTGTGGTATAGCTACTAGGCCTTTGGTGCAGTGGCGAGTCTCCTTGTTGTTGACCATTGTATAGTCTTTTGATTTGGTCCTTGGGTTGGATTACAAGCATTTTGGTTCTAGTGCACTAGTCACTGCCAATTGTTTGACTTCCATCTCTTGTAGCTAGCTGTAGTTTTTTTTCTTTTTTTTTTCTCCACTGCTATTCACCGCCCCCCTTTTACTAGTTACCGTCCCCCCATTTACTCTTTTGCCCTTAACATTTTTTTTGATTTCATCTCTCTAAACTTTCTATCTCTCTAAACTTCCGAACTTCAACGAACGATTCGAGC